TTCATGCAAACTGGGGCTGACCCCTTCTCACACCTTCACACACTGCCCTGGTGCCCAGCTGGGCTCCCAGGCACACCCCGTGCGGGATGGCCCCAGCACCCAGGGCAGCATCAGGCCCCAGCTCGGCCGGGGAGAGGCAGAAGGAGCTGGGGCCTGGGGGTCGGGTCTGCCTGGGGCACCCTGGCAGTGATGGGACCATGCTGAGGGCTCTCTTGACCACGGAAAGAGAGTGTGGGCATCCGAGACCCCCTGTGGTCCTCCTGGTGAAGGCAGGACTCCCTGCCTGGAGAACCTTCTGGCAGCTTCTCTCCCACCCCCCACTGCCCACTCCATTGCTGAGCCCTCCAACCCAATTTGACCATCCCCAGGGCCGAGTGGCTGGGTGCCCACATCTGTGCCTGCCCTCTAACTTGCTGCTGGCATCTCTGCCTGGTGCCCTGTCCCAGACTTGAGCCCAACACCGCGATGTCTGAGACCACAAAACCCGCTGCTCCCGGCCAGGCCGCGGAGGAGAAGGAGAAGGCGGCCCCAGCACCAACTCCATCCCTCGATCCTGCTCCTGTCGCAAACAGCAAGGGTGAGGAGCCCTCCACAGAAGCCTTCAGGGTAAGCCCTGCCGCTCCCCACGCGCAGGTCACGGTCTGGAGGTTAGGGATTGTGGCAGCAGCTTTGGGGCAGTTGGCAGGAGGAGAGCACAGGTGGCCCAGGCAGGACCCCTCCTGAGAACAGGAGGAGAGCGCTGGCAATGTCATCCCTCCTGGGCAGCAGCCCTCTGGGTGCAGGACTGGGGCAGCCGCTTGCTGGGCTGCTGCAGAAGGGATGTTCCAGGTGCCCCTTGGCTGGGACAGCTCGTTGGGGACCACAGGATTTGGAGCTGCTCTCACCTGGCTCATGGTGTCAGGGCTGGGTGCTGCCACCCACTCCCTCTGGTCCCCGCACGGTGCTGCTGGAAGGGTGAAGAAGGAGGCTGTGGGTGACAGGGACGGCACCAAAATGCCGCAGTGATGCCAGCACAGTGTGCCACCAAGCTGCTGCAGCGTGGCTGGGGACAAGGGGTGAGCGATGCGAGGGCTCCGGTGATGCTTTGCACATGCCAGGCAGTGAAGGCCACGGCACGGATCCAGCTCCCAGAAAAGCATCTCCTTCCCAGCCCGAGGTGGGCACCAGCATGGGGAGATGCGGCTTTGCAGCAGCGAAACCGGGGGCAGGAGGAGGCTGTGTTGGAGCAGAGATGGCTGTCGGGAGGACACCTTGCTGTGCTCAGCCCATGTTGACACAGGGCTGCTGCTGTACAGAGCCCAGCTCAGCTTGCCTGGGCACTGGACTTGAAAAGCTGCAAGAAGCCTTGGAGAGCCAAGGGTGATGCGTGGGGCCATGGGTTCGTGTGTGCAGGGTCCATGTGGGGATGTGCAGCATCACCCTGCCCTCCCCAAGCATGCTTGTCCCGGTCTGATCCTTTCCCTCTGCCCCCTAGATCATTGTCTTCGAGCAGGAGAACTTCCAGGGCAGGCAGATGGAGTTCACCAGCGAGTGCATGAACCTGGCGGACCGCGGCTTTGACCGGGTCCGCAGTGTTATCGTCACCTCTGGACCGTAAGTGACCCCGGCCACGGAGGGGACCGTGTCCCAGGGGATGCCCCAGGGAGGTGGGGACACAGTTCTGGGGCACAGCGTGACATGCAAGGGCATTTCCCTGCAGCCCGAGCGGAGAGTGGAGCATAGCCAGCACAGGAGCAGACCTGGGGAACCCAGGTCTCCATCGAGGAGGGCAGGAGAGCCCAGGCGGGTGGGAAGGACACCAGGGTTGTGTGTAAAACAAAAGGCCATGAGAGGCAAAGCTAAAAGCTGAGTAAAGGCATCCGTCAGATTTGCTACCTGAAGCTGTCCATGAATCTCGAGAGAAGTGCAGATTTTAGAGAAGTCAGGGTGAAATGAGGCACACACCTTGGACCAGGCTAGTGGCCAGGGTCAGTGAGGAGGCTGGGCTGGAGCCCTCCGTGCCTGCCCAGCCCGGGGCAGCCGAGCAGCGGTAAGGGGCTGGGAGGCTCTGAAAGCCATGGGAACAGCCAGCACAGGCAGGGACAAAAATGACTGCCAGACTAGATAACTGAACAGACGGATGATCTTTGTGTTGAAAGAGCATCTCACCGTGGCCGTGCCCAGCTGGAAACACCGTGCCCGGGAAGGCAGCCTGGGACAGCCAGCAGGGCTGGCAGTGCCGTGGGGAGTGTGCACGGGACATGGCTTGCCCTGAGCAAGTGGGCAAGGTGACCTATGGTCACCTTGAATAACACCACGTAGCACCTTTTAACTAGGAACCCAGAATATCTGACTTTTCTTGAAATGCAAGGGAGACGGAGCAGCCCCAGAGGAGCTCAGGTGTGACAGCTGGGGAGCTGCGCTAGATACAGAAAGGGTGAACCTTGGAGAAGTATTTAAGTGAAGAGTATTTAAGTGTGATTGGGGCACTCAGTCCTCCAGATGTTTCCTTACTTAAGAGTCATTGGTGTGACTCTGTGCCCAAAAATTTATTTAGGGAAA